GTATCGATGGTGCATCACCATCGCAACTATAGATGGTGCTGACTATCGACAGTGCATGATTATCGATACTATCGAAAATAACACAAACGCCAATAACGCAAATTTGTGTTATTTCCCAATTGAATGTGAACTAACACAAACTTGCTTTATTTCATTTCTCATTGAGCAATGAGACCAATTTTTAAACTTAACAATCGAGTAATAAAGCCAAATAGTGCACATATGTATGTAGGTAGCCACCCAGCTACATTTGACAAAAAGTAGTACATGAACAAGTTAAGTGGACGGATTTGTAAGTCTGCAATTTTGAAAGTGCCCAGCGTCGCGGCGGTCCGCGTTCGCGCGCCGCCCCGCCCCCCTCCCCTCCTTTCCAATTATTCACTGCTGTCATTATAACCGTTTAGAAAAAACAATCAGCCCTATTCTGCATTTCGACTCGAATCGAAATTTTCTCCGTTTGGCAGCTTTGGTATTCTGCGTTCCGTTTCCTTTCGATCAATCTTCGAAATTTACGATTATACCTATTCTACATTTCGATCGTAGTTCCGTTTTTCTAAGTTGCAAATTTGTTGACGGAGAACGTTTCAATTGTTATTTTCGTGGGTTTAAATAATAAAATTTTATAAAAAATTTAAGTAAAATATACTGTGCATGATTGTAAGCCATAGAAAATGAATTTTCTCGATTTCTGTGTTTTCGCGAGCGGTAATACGGGCAATACGAAAAATTGGCTCAAATAATGGCAACCAAAAGGGATGTCGACGTTTACAAAGTGGAAGTCCAGGCGTTTTTGTTTACATTATCTATAAATAAGACTGGAATGCACTGAATGCAATTTATTCTTTTTATACAAAATTAATAGATGTATGCACATAGATACATACATACATAAAATGTGAAGTTACATAAAAAAGATCCTTTTATTATTGCACTCGTTTTTACTAAAAGAGGTGCGTATGGTGCCTCGAATTCGATTTGCTATGGAAAGATAAGCTTTAATCTTCCCCTCCTCCTGACGGCTTACAAAATGGGATTCATTTGCGTTCAAATCTTCCACTGTAGTAAATGCAAATTTTGTGGAGTGCTCAAACAACGTTTATAATTTCACTGTCTTTAAGCGATGAGTAATACAGTTCAAGATGAATTCCTTATGACTCTTCACTCATCTGAAAAAGATCAAACATGTCCCTAAATCTCCGCCTCTCAACTTCCGCATCAGCAATCTGGGACTCGTTCTTCTCTTCAAGCAATAACGCAGCGGCTATGGATTTCATTCTTAAAATTATGTATCCACTTAAATTTTATTTTTAAATTACAGTGATGCTAGGTATATTTAGTTATTTTAAAATATTTACAAACTTTAACTTAATAAAATGACACTAGTTCACTTCTGAAACTGCTTTTTAATGCCCAAGTAATGGGAATTATTGCCCAGCAAAAAATCGGTAATCGCTTTTAGTGGTAACGTGTTCTGGAAGGTATAGCGTTATAATGCCTTCGAATTTTTTCGCTTCTTTTAGGCATTGCCGGTGATGTAAAGTAGAATGTCCTACAATATTTTATTTGTTTCGCTTCTTTTCTTCATTTCAGGGAATGCAAAGTAGAATGCAGCATCGTAGTCAGCTGAAAAATAGAATGAATATCCAAAAATTCTTTTTCTCCCGTTACTTTCTGTGGAAATTTGTCTCGCATAAAAATCATGTTTTGCTTTGTTCAATTTGCAGCGAAGTTGAAGTCAGTCAATGAAGTGAAGTACAAGAGTAAATACCTAAATACATAGATACATATGTATGTATAAAAACTGGTTTATAAAAATTTTAATTAATTTTAATCTTTTAAGACCATTTCTGATTCCAATTTAATATAAATAAGTATCTACTTATCTAGGCATTCTGCATTAGTTTGTCTGTAACAGGGTACGAAAATAAACTATATTGTACGTTACTATTTCGTTTCGTTTATTACTTTAACAGTTCAGTACAATACGAAAACAAAACGGCTATGTTCACTTTGGCGATAGTACACTACAGTAGTTTAGTAGTTACAGACGAAACAACAAACGAAATGCATCGTGCCGATAAAATATATGTATGTATGTACACATAGAGCTAAAATGTTTTAGTGAAATTTCACATAGACTCTGGCAAAAAACGGCTAAAATGTTTTAGTGAAAATTCACATGCTTTATTTAAATAAATCGCAAGAAACGAAAGACTAGTTAACACCATTAATTTATATCGAGTGTATATTCCTCATCATCAAATGAATCACTATTGTATATATCACCTGAATTCATTAATTTTAAGAGATCGTCATCTACAGTAAAATTATGGCAGCATTTTTCTTCACATTTTAAACCGTATCTTATATATATAAAATAGCGTTTAACGTTTTAACGCACATTTGATTTCTTTGCTTAGTTTTGATTATATTCATTGAACTAAATATTCGCTCTACTTCATTTCGCCAAAAATGTTTGCAAAATTTTCAGCGAATAACTTTATCATAAGCCCTTGGGATATTAGACATGACATTTTTTCTACACGCCAAGAGATTGTACACACAGTACAGTGTAGTAACAAAAAAATTAATTCACATTTTCGCTATTCTTTAACCGCAGTTCATAAGTGGCGTCATTCATATCGCTATCACTTGAAGCAAAAACAATACGTCGTTTAAAGTACAAAACCGCGTATCGTCATTCTGCGAAACCACGTAACTGACATTGGCTGCCAAAAATTGGATTTGCTCACACAAGTTCTTGGCTCGCATATAACGGTAATTTTCAGAAATACGAAAACTGCGATATTTTAGTAACTACTGAAGATTATTCACTCAAAATTGATATTTATAATAACTTTGAGACGAAAAATAAGAATATTATAAATTTTTGAAAAATGGCCAACCGCTGCACCGATTTCTTCCAAACTTGGCACAGTTGTTGGCCTTGGTACAGCATACCAAATGGCCGAAAATGTTTAAAATCGGACAATAACCGCGCCCACATTCCATATAAGGGTAATTTAGAGAAATACGAGATCGTCGATAAATCAGTAAATATTAAAGCTAATTTATTTAAAATTGACGCTTGCAACAATTCTTTACCAAGAAATACGTTTATGATAAAATTTTGGAAAATGGGCGAGGCACCGCCCTCTTATGATCACATATATGTATGTATCTCGGTAACCGTTCTACCAATTTGTACAAAACTCGGTATTTTTATTGTGCTTGCCACATAAAAGGAAAACGTTGAAAATTATTGAAATCGGCCTAAAATTACGGCCGCTTTTCATATAACAATACATTTCAGAAATGCTTGAAATTTCAATATTTCGAAATTTAAGGACGCTAACTTACTCAACATTGATACACCCCGGCTTACCATGTAGCGGTAGCTTGCGGAAAAGTGAAAAACATATATTTAATACTTGCGCCGGGTATTTAATGTTCGGCTCCGCCCGAACTTAGACTTTCTTACTTGTTAAATAATCATTCCAAATGACGTTTACTGCACTGCATTTTATTTTAATACTTAAATTTGTTTGCCGCACGAGTTAACGCTTGGCTTGAACTCATTTACATCACCGAATCATTAAAAGAATTTCGCAATGGACTAACTGGACACTTTCATGGAATTTCGTTTTTTGTCAAATTACGAAGTACATGTATGTACATATGTACATACGCAGTTAGCTTTCATAATTCGACCTGGTCTGATTTAGCATTACATGTTACCAGGTGTGCCGTGCCACCAGCCTCAGTTTTTTCCTGCATAACGCTGACACTAGTGCCGTAACCATGGTCATTCTTCCTAGTTAAAGTACTAATGGCGTGAGGCAACATGGTCCGCAAAAGTTTGCAGGGTATTTAAAGTGTACTATATTTTTTCAGTTTTTTTTTAAGTACTATAAATATCTTACAAAATGTTGGCAACCCTACTTCGTCCGTCAGACGACCGCTGTGGTGTAGCGGTTAACAGTGCACGCCAACATTCCGCAGGCCTGGGTTCAAGCCCGGTTCAACCCAAGATAAAAAAAAAAAAAAAAAAAAAAAATTGTTTGCTAATAGCGGTCGCCCCTCGGCGGGCAATGGCAAACCTCTGAGTGTATTTATTTCTGTAATGAAAACAGCTTCTCATAAAAATTCAATCGCCCTTCGGAGTCGGCGTTAAACTTAGGTCCCTCCCCTTGTTTGACAACATCAATGCGCACGCCACAAATCAGAAGAGAAGCCCGGCCAAACACTAACAAATGTGTAAGCACTAATCTATTATCATTATAGTCGCAAAGAATTCTCATATTTGTTTACTTTTGCAAAGAATTATCTCTGCGAACCACCTTCCTAAGTGAACTCAAAAAGTGTGTTTAGTGCATCGGGTAGCATTTATTTTGAAAATACAAATGGGTTCTTGGCCGGTAATGCGGAATGGCTTCTTTTCATAATGAAAAATATATAAATTTTTAACTCTTAAATACTAATTATATACTATTAAATTTGATTGCAAAAATTTAAAAAAAAAAATCTTCTATAATCGAAATCCGGTCGGATTTTAGCCAGCTTGATTTTAATAAATTTCCGCAGTGCTTCTTCCTCTTCGTTGTCATTCTTATTTTTAGTTTAAACCTTCCAGAAAGTTCTTGCATTTTTCTAGTTTTCCACACATGTAAAATAAGCCATAGCTTGGGTGGTAGCAAAAGATATTATAGGCGACTGGTGAATAAAAATTTGCACATTCAAAAATTTGTATGGAGAACAACTACAGGACCCAACCAATTCTCAATTTGTTTGGCCACCTGTTTGTAAAATCGAACTTAATTAAATTATCAAAAATTTATGTACATATGTGAAATATTAAAATATTTATGTCAAACGAAAAGTTACGACATAGTATTTGTTATTTTATTACAATATGTGAATACATACCTACCTTTGCCGATTTTATGCTGGCAACGCTGTCGACATTTGGCAACCCTTTGCCATTAGTTAATCTACATAAGCATGCGTTTTACGTTATTAAAAATTCATTTCGTATTTATTCGCCAAATTCAAAAAAATAACAAAACAGACTATACCACATGTTTGTATGTATACTTATGCATACATACATATATACATAAGCATGTAATACCACACCATTCTTTACATGTTTGTTTACGTATTTAAATGTAAATACGTCGTATCAATATAAAAATAAAATTAAAATTCATAAAATTGGTAAAATTCAAAACTAAAATAATTTCGAACTATTATGCCAGCGTAGCACGCTTAGCCACAAAGTCCCGGGCTGCCCCACGTTCTTTATTCGTAAATCGCGCGTAACTGCAAAATAAAAAGCACAAATCATATGAAAATATATTTGGATGTGCATACTACAATTATACATACATACATATGTATGTACTTACATACATATTCATAAAGTGGAATAAGAAACTTACGTCTTTTGATACTTGGCCATATCGGCCGCACTTAGCGATGGGCGTGTTGTGTTGAAAGCTTCGATTAGATGCTTCTGTCGCACCAAAATTTTAGACGGCAGTTTCTGCAAAAGTAAGCGAAAATATGCCAACGAGGGTAAACGTTTAGCTATTAAAACTTTATGACTTTACTAATTACCGTTTATGTAAATCTCACATACCCACTATGTATAAAGCAGACTTGAGGGCACATAACAACCAACCTAACGCAACTGTACACATAAACATACATACATTCTACATTGTGGGATCAATGCAGACAAATTGTCTGGTGGTGTTTGGATCTTTAGAATGATTATACAGACTGCGACGTCTAGACAATGAGAATGTTTAAAGCCGTGATGAGTAACCGTGTTCAATGCTTTGGCATGGTCAGGTGGGCGAGGGATTTATTTTCGCAAGAATCTTATTCAATTAGCACGTGCATGTGATTCATATGTGCGTGGCTTGTATATCATCACCTGAAGTGCAAAAAGGCCTAACAATCGTCGCTGAAATACAAAAGGTCGTAACAAGTAAAAAATTCAAAATTCAGTTTTTGATTGATATCATCGAATTATAACTCCCATATAATTTTATGAAAATAAATAAAAAATATTAGTCAGGACTTTTTCCATTTCAATTACCTTGCTGTTGCGTCTTTTTTGCATTGTGACGATATCGACTGCTGAGTGCAAGAACGTCCTATTTCAAAATTCGTTTCAAAAACGCCCTATCTCAAATGCCGATTCAAAAACGCCCCATTTCAGGATAATTTCTATATATTTGGAAGTGAGATAGGGCGTTCTTCAACCAAATTTTGAGATAGGGTGTTTTTCAATAAAATTCTGAAATAGTGCGTTGTTGAAAAGCTTTTTGAGATAGGGCGTTTTCGAACTGGCTGCCGAGATAGGTCGATCTTCCGGTACGTAACATAAAATAATGTCAGGAGCAGGTAATAATGTACCTTTGTACTATTTGGCATGTCGTTGGTAGGTAACAAGAACAACTTAAATTTAAATCTATTAAATACATTCTAGCGTGTCTCAGTCCTTTGCCCACAAAAGCGGCTATAACTTTTTTTCTATTCTAAACAGTAAGAGTGGCACCTTTCTGAAATCTTTATTAAATGAGCAATTTTTTATGTAATGTAAAGTTATAGCTCAGTACATTTTTTTTTTCACCTGACATAGTCAAAGTTGGGGAAGAAAATATCAAAAAGATAAAAATCCCTAAATAGTCCTAATTTTATGACGGTTCCTTAATATATTTTTCAATTACATTGCACTTGAGTATGGAGGAGCAACTATCTGGAAGTATTTTACATAAAAAATTTACTAAGTATAGCCTGTAGATGCAGTTAAAGATAATACATGAAAAGGCGCGAAAAACGGTGACACTTTTACCTGAAAATTTTTTGTTTATCAGAAATGAAATGAAATAAACTTATATAGTCATATGTGGACGGTATCACGCTCATTTTCCAAAATTCCAAATTATGTTTCTTCTTTTCAAGGGATTATTGTTAGTATCAATTTTGATTAAATTAGTCTCCTTAAATCTCGAAATATAGAAGTTTTAAGCATTTCTGAAATCTACCGTTATATGAAAAGTGGCCGTAATTTTAGTCTGATTTCAATAATTTTAAACGTTTTGCTTCTATGTGGCAAGCACAGTAACCATACCGAGTTTGGTAGAAATTAGTAGAACGGTTACCGAGATACATATATGTATGTGATCATAAGTGGGCGGTGTCACGCCCATTTTCCAAAATTCTATCATACACGTAATTCTTGGTAAAGAATTGTTGCAAGCCTCAATTTTGAATGAATTAGCTCTAGTATTTACTGATTTATCGAAGATTTCGAATTTCTCTAAATTACCGTTATATGGGATGTGCACGTGGTTATTGTCCGATTTTAAAAATGTTCCGCCATTTAGTATGTTGTACCAAGGCCAACAACTGTGCCAAGTTTGGGAGAAATTGGTGGATATACACATGTAACCATAAGTGGGCGTGGCTACGCCCATTTTGCAAAAATTTATAATATTCTTATTTTTGTCTAAAACTTATTGTAAATATCAATTTTGAGTGAATAATCTTCAGTAGTTACTAAAATATCGCAGTTTTCGTATATCTGAAAACTACCGTTATATGGGAGGTAGGTAAGGTTGCCAACCGTACTATAATATATAGTATTGTACTATTTTTTGGGTCAGCGTACTGTTGGAAAAAAAATATTATGCAAAAATACTATATTTCTCCAATTATAAAACAAAGGGTCCACAGAACAAAAATTACAACATTTTTAAAAATACTTAGAAAGATTTGCCAAATTTACTTAAAATTATTTCGTTTATGCTCTCTATTCCTGCAACTTCGACATTCATAGAAAGAGTTTTTTCTATTAAGATTTTGAAATGGTGAGATGAGAGGAATAAAGCGAATATCTTACTAATAAAAAATGAACTGAAAATGGAATGAAAAAATGAAAAATTAGCGAAATACCTTAAAAGCTTGAACGCATAATAATATTGGAAAATCACATCCATTGGTCCAATCGTAACACAGGAGAGTTCGATATACTCAATGGTGCAACAGGTCGATTTAATCTGACCTTCACGGCACGTTTTTGCAATATTATTGCTCTTACCGTTACCAATACATATTTAAAATATTAGCCAAATTGGATCATAAATAAAATTTTTAGGAATAACTCAACTACAGCGCAAACTGACGGATTAAATTGTGAAACTAAACCATCCAGAGATCCACTCAAACACAGACAAAATATTTCGTTAAAATCCGAACAACCATTTAGGAGGATTCCACCCACAAACACCACTACATAAGAATTATAAATACATTCAAAAACAGCTAAAAGTCTTTACGTTTGTAGGCCTCACGCCTCTCTTTCAAATAGCCCCCATTTTCTCCATGAGTACGGCCTTGATTTCATATACATACATATCTCCATACGAAGTTCTAACACTCTACCATGGACATTTCCAGAGATATGCTGTATGAAAAACTCGGTTTGTATGGGAGGTGCCACGCACCATTTTACAATAGCTTCAAGTTTTCGTATATCTCCATACTAAGTTCCAGAACTCTACCATGAACACTTCCAAAGATATGCAGTATGAAAAATTTGGTTTGTATCGGAGGTGGCACGCCCCCTTTTACAATAACTTCAATTTTTCTCCAAGAGTATGCGATTGATTTCGTATATCTCCATTCCAACTTCCATAACTCTACCATGAACACTTCCAGAGATACGTGGTATGAAAAATTTGGTTTGTATGCGAGGTGTCACGCCCCTTTAGCAGTAGCTCCAATTTTTCTCCAAGAGTATGGGGTTGATTGCGTATATCTCCATACCAAGATATGCAGAATGAAAAAATTCGGTTTGTATTGAAGGTGTCCTTTACATATAGACAATTGTTTTAGCCTAAAACTATCCTTGCGACACGTGCGGCAGGTGTCTGAAGTTTAAAAAAATCGGTTCAGCCGTTCTCGAGCTTCGCGAACACTAAAAAACGGCTTTTTTAAATATTTATTAGTATATATATATTATATATTATTATTATATTTTGGCTGTATCCGTTGTTTCTGATTGTCGCACAAAAACTTGCCTAGTGACGAATTCGCCCCTTAATATGGTGGTTGCCCAAAGCTATTTATATTCGAAATTGCATGAAAATTGGAAGACAGGATCCTATAAGCTTATCCAGGCGAAAATCTACCTACATACCAAATTTTAAGCAAATCGGACTATAAATACGATTTTTTCGAATAGATCGGGCCCCTGGTGCATTTCGCGGAAAAACGGATTATATATGCTAATTTAGGTAAAAAGCTACCTACGTACCAATTTTTTAGCAAATCGGACCATAATTCGATTTTTTCGAATATATCGGTCCCTGGTCCACCTACCGGAAAAAGTAAATTCTTTTGGCCTTAAACAGGGTGTCTACTGAAAGCTATTTATATACAAAATTTCATGAAAATCGGACCAGCCGTTCGCTTGATTACCTGTTACAAAATAAAGAACTTCTCTTTATATAATTAGTATAGATATAGATATATATGTGACCTGGTCTACGAAAAGGGAGCTTACGTGCGAAAACTAGTTTTCTGTGAAAAAGCTGTTAAAAGTAAGCAACTCGTTTCGTCAGTTTCTCATTATCTCGTTAATTGTTCTCCGCGCGGGACGTCCAGTAAGTGTTGTTGTTGGTCCAGTAAGTGTTGTTGTTGGTCCAGTAAGTGTTGTTGTTGGTCGGAATATTATTATAGTTCATCGTGTAAGTTGCTAGTGTGGAACATTTAAAAAAGTAACACTGAAGAAGTGACGTTTACTGTTTCTGTTGATTATCGTCTTCGCATTTCGCATGAAATGAAACATGAGTGTTGATGAGGAGTTCAGTGCCGTATACGGACAATATTTCCATGAAAAGGATGATGAAAACGATGATGAAAACTATGAAGAGAGCGATGATGATGAAGACGAAGTATGTGTATCTCAGGCAGAAGATGATACCGAACAAACTTTTGTTAAGATGGACCTGTATGTTGTTGATATAAAGGAGGAGCTGGACAACAACAACAACAAAGAAAAATACATAAATTACTCAGCATTATTATTTTTGGCCCATAATACGTTTTTCTAGTGTATAATCATGTCTTTATAGCTTATAATTCAATGTATTTTGTTCATTACCAATAAATTATATTTTGTCGTATTTTTACTCTTCTTTCTCTACATTTTTAGTACATTTCTAAGCAAGTTAGGATTTTCTGCTTTTCACCACGTGAAAAAGCATCTCATCTTCCATCCGAATCAACCAAAAAGTGAAAATTGATTTTTTGACACAGCCCCCTTTCCGTAGACCAGGTCACATATAACGATTATCTCTTAAAATGTGAGGACAAGTAAACATGATGTAATGTGGAACGATTTTCCGTCATCCCTTGTCAAATATGGTTTGGAGACAAACCGGTTTCGGCGTTGTGCATGTCTTTGTTTATATGAATTGGCTAAGGTATTCCAAAAGTATAACATTAATACAGAATTTAGAACGAAGGACAATGTGGGGAGGATACTACGAAATAGTGCAAACGAGGAAGACCCACTAGACAAGCAAGGTGTATATAAGTTGACTTGCGAATGTCAACATAGTTACATACGACAAACAGGGCGCAAGATAAAAACAAGATATCGTGAACATATAAGGGACTACAACAAAAAAATGCTAAAACCTTCTACCACCCCGGAATCGAACTTCGCAAACCTCATGACAGAAAACCATTGTACGCCAATGAAAACAGGAAAGACAGCCATAGTTCTCCATGTACAGCACAAAGGACAACGCCTAAACGTATTAGAGAATACGGAGATATACAAACAAAAGACGTTCGTCGGAAAAATAATAAATGAGCAAATAAACACCGCATCTGATATATTATTCGAACCACTCATGCTACTATACGCAAAACAAAACAGAAACCCTGCAACTACCATAAACAATGAAATGCAGGTCCAAACTACAGAAACAAAGAGAAAGCAAATAACTGATTTTTACCTACCTGCGAATCCATGCAACAATTTGTCAAAAAAGAGAGCAACTAATTTCTACCTGAGGATGTACACACAGAACTGAAACTACTGGTTGAACGAAAGAATATAATCCGCTGAGACATACCTAACTATGAACCAACGACCATTTTACACGGCTATAAATAGTGACAGACAAACAGAAACTATTCAGAACGAAAAATTACACTGAAGATGGCACAACGCCGAAACCGGTTTGTCTCCAAACCAAATTTGACAAGG